TGGACCGATTGTGCTCAAATTTGGCACATCGCTAGAGACCGGTTAGTAGGGTGCCGTGCAAAAGTCAGTTGGGACCCATTTTGCACGTGCGCACGTGCAGCGTGCCGCTTCCAGATCTCGAGAACGGCTGGGCCGATTGTGCTCAAATTTGGCACATCGCTAGAGACCGGTTAGTAGGGTGCTGTGCACAAGTCAGCTGGAGGTACCCCCTCGAAATTTTGCACGTGCAAGGCCCACCCTCTCGCTCGCTCCGTTACTCGCCCCAAAAGGCGTTATACTGGTATAACTAGGGACCGAGGCGGATGTCACTTATAATCGGGGGATTCGGGGGATTCTCGACGGCAATAACTGCGTCTCATTTTGGAACGCAGCTTCGTCTCAAGCCCACGCTGATTGAACTTCAATATGTCCCCGAGATAAATTTGTTCGCCCAATAAATTGAAATCACCGTTCCCTGCTTCTATCCTCAGGATACAGAAATCCTTCTCCTCCACGCCGCAACCCCACTCCGGGCTGGACAGGCACCTTTATCTCATGCGGGCTGCTCCCTTGGAGCGGCACCGCTGCTCCCGAGGGAGCGCACCCCGTAGCCGGGTGCAGAGAGTGCTTGGGGGGGCTGGTCGGCCTGACGGACGGGCTCAGCCCCGGCGACTCTCTAGGGTGTCTGCCCAGACCAATGTCTCCCCCTAATTCCTATCATCCTTCCGGCTCTGCAATGATCTTATCAGACCGAAAGGGCCTAACCCCCCCCCCCCCCAAAAAAAAAAAAAATGAAATGATCCCGGGACTTCCACACGTTTAAAGGTTTCGATTGAGAGAGTTTCGCATTTCCTGTTCTTCCTTCGCTTGTTGACATCCTGTACTTTCTTTACCCTAGCCTGACCTGTTCTTTCCTATGTGCCCTGCCCCGCCTTGTGCGCTGCCCTTTCGCCCGTCTTGTGCTTTGCCCTGTGCCCCACCCCACCCTTTCACCTGTCTTGTGCTCTGCCCTAGCCAAGACGCCACAGACCAGACTTACCGAATACCCATACACCCCATTCTACCTCATCCACGCCTCATCTATGCCTCCGACCTTGCCCTATACTCCTACTATGGTGTCGTGTCCTTTATACAGGCGATGTGGATAATTGCCGCCTGTCCCTGTATTCCTCGATCTACCTATCTGTTTCTATCCATGTCATTTCCCACGCCCACTGATCTGCACTGCCCTGCTCACTAGCCTTTCCTGACCTACTTCCACGCAGCATTGATAATAAGTGCAAGATAAGTTGGGCTACGTTGGCATGCTGCGCGTAAGTACTCCGTATTAACTATTCTCCCTGCGCTACGCAATAGTATGTACGTTGCGCTCTGTCAGAGGATCGCTATCTTTGTACGTTATTCTACAATTAACTACCACGCAAACGAGGATGTTGCCGAGGGTGGCGCTAATGCAGACAGCACAAAAACGTCTGGCGTCATTTTTTGACCGGGACAGAGGCGCCTGGAGGTTGAATGAGCCGGATACAGCCGGCTATAGCCGGCTACATCTGCCCCCGTCCGGCTACTGCCCGACAGAGAAGGTCGCGCAGTGTCGGGGCCGCCTGCACTGGAGCGGTAAACACCGATCTGGGCCTCCCTGAAGGGGATGTTGTGAGCTCCAGAACCCCTAACATTACTGAACCCTGGGATCTGGGGTATACGTGTGAGGTGGGGTGCACTGGGTACACGTTTTAAAGGTACGTTTTTATGCCGTTTTCGGGGTAGTATCAATGAGAACATGCAGCTTTATGAGGACTTTAAATGCAGCAATCGGTGAGTTGCAACCAAGCCTCGTTATTTCTTCTCTGTAGTGCTTAAAGGAAATAGTTCACTTTTTAACATGGGTTTTGAACTGGAATAGCAGTTCCGTAGCCTGGGCTGAGACGAGCATAAATCAGGAGCTTTTACAGCCCAACGATCACCCTAGGCAAAGATATTCTATTTCTCGTCCCGAAAAAGGTGTCGATGAGTGCCTTGCATATATTCGCATCCAGTATGAAAAGAGCATGGGTACCGAAAATTCTTAAGAAACTAGAGAAATTATCTACGAGAACTCTAGAGAAATTCTCGTACTGATCAATAAGGACATTCAGCAGCAGCAGATCGCCCAAATGCCGGTGGCCGCGATAATTTCTCTAGTTTCTGAAGAATTTTCGGGACCCATGCTCTTTTCATACTGGATCGCCTGTGCCTTACAGAAACTAAAAAGTTCTTCCTATATCAAAATATAGAAAATAATCTTTTGTTATAAATAGGTTTTATTTTCTTTGCTGATCATTTTGAACATAAAAAATCATAAATCCATTGCAAAAAAAATAATTTCGTGAAAGTGAACTATTTCCTTTAAGCGACGTCGCACAGGTCTTACAAGTGTGGTGACTGGTGATGCATGAAAACTGTCTACCATTATGAGGATGCAATCTACATATCTGCTGATGCTTGGTGTTCCTATCATTTCGACAGTTCCCAGCAAGCAATTTCGAAAATTTAACACTTGGATATTCTTGCTGGAAACTGTCGATTTGTTTTTCTCAACGACAATGACAATCCAAAAACAATGTAATAAGATCAGACGTTTCGACAACAAAGTGCCTTCGTCAGTGGAAACAAGATAGGCTTTACATCGATAAAAAATATAGAAGCCTATCGATGTATCGATGTAATCGATGTAAAGCCTATCTTGTTTCCACTGACGAAGGCATTTTGTTGTCGAAACGTCTGATCTTATTGCATTGTTTTTGGATTGTCATTGTCGTTGAGAAAAATAAAATGTCTGACTCTTCTAAACTGTCGATTTATTTTTGCCTCGTTCCATAAGCTCATAAAATTGCACCTTCCATTGAAATATGAGCCCATAAAACTGTCGAGGAAAAGAAGAGAGTCAAAATAAATAAAAAGGAAAAGATCAGTAAATGTAACAAGGATTCGGCGAAAATCCAATAAATTCAATGGCATGAAAATACCTATCGTGGATCGCGACAATCAATGCTCAATGTCAGAAAACAGCGCAGATAAATCATAGAAAAATCAGCACACCTTTGCGGTAAAGCTTCTCATTGGTTCTTCTATTGGACACAATATTCAACCCTGGGTTTACTTCATACTAACGAGTTACGGTGTGTGCGAATGATGTCACTCGGTTTCGCCTACTTACATCGTAGTGTGCCAAGAACGAAGAGTACAAAAAATGCGACTACATAGGGCGATAGGGTTTCAAACTGTCAACACTATTATCAGAAGCCCCACGTGATACTGAGCTGTTCGAGCACAGCGAGAGCTATCGGCATATCTCATGAAGGATCAGTGCCTTGCCTTCTACACGGCGATTGACCATCTCGTAGTCAGGAATATCTTCCTTTCGGCTTTTCGCCTCTTTCTGCAGAGATAAGGTTACGCACTAGGCAGGCTTCATTGTGCACATTAACCCGGCAGGCGGTGGGCCTCCCAGCCACCTTCCGCGCGGTGGGGGGGGGGGCATTTTTTTTGCCTCCCCCCTCGTATCTCCGAAACTACCGGACGGATCCGGAAAATTCAAACGGCGTTCGGTAGCACTGTCAAATTTGTCGAAGGAAACCAAATTTCATTGACCTCGGGGTCACCGATGACATCACAGAACAAGTCAAAGATAAAATGTTTCACCGTTCACGGGGCTTCTAGGGAAAGCGCTATAACACCGAGTAAAACGCATTTTGTCGAAAATCAGCGATAAAGCGTCAGTTGTCTAGTACGTATGTTGCTATTAGAGGTCACTGGTCATACCAGGTCAGGTCACAGGTCAGGTCACCAAAGGTCACCAAGGGTCACCACATGAACCCAACTTTACTAAGGTTGTGCGATGCATGTTTTATGGCCAGTTTTTCATTTCCAACTCAATGGTATTGGTTATAAGACCATCAGGTACGGTTTAGGTCACTTTCTGGTGGAGGTCAGGTCAAGGTCAGGTCAAAAAAGGTCTAATTTCAAAGTTGATATTTTTGCATAACATGGGTATCGATTCGATGCAGCTCGTCACGGGGAGTCTAATGGTGGTCTTTGTTTTGCGCTACGAGGTCTAGAATTGCTAAAAATTGAGTTTGAAAATTTGACGTCATCAATTTTGAACAGTTTTTTCGCTATAACTTGGCCAAAAAAAGAGGTATTGATCTCAAATTTGGTATGTAGATAGAAGGCGGTAAGGACTATCACTTGTATTCCTTTTTTTCGAAATTCAAAAAACTTTTTGGATTTTCGGCTTTTATTTAAAAAACCTATTTTTTTATTTTTTGGGGTCAAAATCAAAAAAATTCGAAAAACCGAAATGCCAGTTTTGTAGCCCTTTTTATTCCACACCTTTTATATCTGGAACATTTTTCTGTATCTCTAAAGCTGTAGGCCTGACAGCTCTTCCCGCGAAACCTTTTTTTTGGGTCGAAAATGGCAAAAATGACGTCACTCTGACGTCATTAGCGGCCAACCTATCATAGCCTTTGGAAAAATTTTGGTCACCATGTGCGCTAGCTACTCCCGGGAGGGTACTGAATGTTTGGTGACGATCGGCGCAGCGGTTCTCGAGATATATCGAAAAAAACTAAAGGGGGGGGCAAAAAATGTCCCCCCACCGCCTGGAAGGTTAAAACTTATAATATCGTCATTGGATATTGCTATGTTTCCGCGTCATAGTAAGTTATTGCTTCTGGATAACTGCCGATATATTTGGAAACTATTTCAACAAACTTGTAAGTGGTGTCCGAAACAAACGAGCCAGGGGTAACAATGTCGCATGTAACGATTTTATATAATGAATTTCGAAAGATAATACCATAAACAACTCGTGCGTCGATCTGAACTCAGTGCGCTGGCCGCATACGTCTCTTCTGCGCGTCCTTACAGCCCAAGTGTCAAGCACGGGGGTGTGTCTGTGTGTCGAGAGCAGCACGGTGATTGGTCCGTGAAGACGGCGCTCGTGCAGCTATATACGCAGCGCACCAGTGCCCCGACCAGAGGCCCATTTTGAGCCGACGGCGCAACGAGTTTTGTTGGACAGAAATGCAGTGACGATCGCAGCAGGAACACACCAGCAGAGGCAGAAGCAACAACCGAAGGAAAAACAACAGGAGAGATAGTGTTAGAAGCTGTACAGCAGGAGTTCAAGGCCGCATTAGTAGCAGCGGCAGCGGACAGCATTATAAGCAGCAGCAGCAGCAGCAGCAGCAGCAGCAGCAGCAGCAGCAGCAGCAGCAGCAGCAGCAGCAGCAGCAGCAGCAGTCATGGTTCTCGAGCTCGACCAGTACTCTGACGGGAAGGCGGCGCGTCTGTGGAATCTGTACATCGGAGATCAGTCGGAGCGCACCAGACACTACAAGCAGTTTCTGAAGAGGGAGCTGAACGCCCACAGCTGCGACACCGTGCTCGATGTCGCCTGCGGCACCGGGTGAGAGGGAAACGGGTGAGGGCGGCCACTGGTGAGAGGGAAACGGGTGAGGGCGGCCACCGGGTGAGAGGGAAACGGGTGAGGGCGGCCACTGGTGAGAGGGAGAGACGGGTGAGGGCGGCCACCGGGTGAGAGGGAAACGGGTGAGGGCGGCCACCGGGTGAGAGGGAAACGGGTGAGGGCGGCCACTGGTGAGAGGGAGAGACGGGTGAGGGCGGCCACTGGGTGAGAAGGGGCATTGTGGGGGAAAAGACAGCAAATTAGAGCGAGCGCTAGCTTAGGAGCAACGGGAAAACTGACCGCTGCAGAAGGAAGTAAAAGATTGAGCTAAGAGCTCTGTAGGAAAGATTAATACATTTGAGCGTTTTTTTTTTTTTACTGCACGGCAGCTTTAGTTGCATAACGAAAGCCAAAATTGATCTATAATTTCGACGAAATAAAATAATTTTATCTTTCATGAGGTTTCGCTTGCAAAGAGCACGCCGCATGCCTATTCGAGATTACAAAGAAGCAGCAAAAAAAAAAAATATCAAAGTAGCTTATTCGCTCCAATCATATCGTAATGCCAAGACCGGATAATTGTAACTCTGTTTGACCATATTCATTATTCATTAGTCAGTGCTTCTAGATCGAAAGCAAAAAAGTAATTTCATCATACCCAGAATTGTAACCGACTGGCGATGTTTATTTGACTTCCCGTCATTCCCTCGTCGACTGACGGTAGCGGCATTCCCGGCAGGATCGACTCTGTTATGCTGATCGAGGAGGGATTCAGCGTCACCTCGTGCGACTTCTCCGACAAAATGCTCAAATGCGCCTGGAACACCCGCTGGAGCCGACGCAAAGAGCCCGCCTTCGACAACTGGGGTACGTGCTGCTGGCATTGCAACTGTGCATTAATCCACAACCAAGAGTGGCGTGCAGAATGCAGTGCATGGATTTCGTCTTAGCTCTGGAACTTTCAATATTGAACTGAAAAGCCTGAACAAACATCTTACGTTAAGTGGGACTTTAAAGTCATCTTATATACCTTTACTCAGGTTGATAAATTAATGGTATACTTTTCAGAGTCTCAAGAGTAAAGCCTGTATTTTTTATTTAAATGATGCAATATCTATTTTTATTATTTTTTATTTAACTTTTGCACTGTCTGCATCGTTTACTATTCCATGTAATTTCGCATTGAAAAAGGCTCCTCAATGGGGGTAGAAATATTTGCCATCATTTAAATAAAAAATACAGGCTTTACTCTTGAGACTCTGAAAAGTAAACCATTAATTAAACATCTTACGTGTTGGTTTTCTCTGTCCTTTTCATTGAGGTTTAGGTATATGTAGGCATATGTAAGACTAGCTCATTTCTTATTTCATTGCGTCCCCCCCCCCCCATTCAGTCACCGGCCCAGTCTATCCTACTGCATTGAGGGTTGCGACGCTTCTCTCCCTTCTACCTTGCTAGCAATCGTTATCGTTTTCCCCAGGCCACTCGTGTAGTGTTGTGAAGTTTGGTCAGCGTTGCCCATGCGTCAATACATCTTACGCGTATGCTCACATCATCTCATGTCCCGCAGACATCTACGAGGCCAACTGGCTAACGCTGACCAGTGACCTAGACAGGGACAGACAATACGACGCCGTCATCTGTCTGGGAAACTCGTTCGCCCACCTACCCGACCTCACCGGCAATCAGGATAGTCACCGGTGAGTGGGATAAGGGGTGCACTGGTTGTTGATTATCCGGAGCAATTTTTTGGTAAGACTAAAAATAAATTGGAGCGGTCACGAAAGCAAAGGTCTAATCGGGCTACAGACCTAGATGGCTTCAAGACATTGTAGGTATTGTAATTTCGCGTAAATTTGAAACATTCTTCCAGCATGTTCTTAACTTCACAGAGCCGAAGCTACCCAACTTTTTATAAGCTTCCCAATTTCATCGATATCATACCTAGCACAGTCTGGCGTCTGTGGTAGTCGGCTTGAGCATCTGATGTCACTTGTGTTCTGCTGTACTTCTGGGCTCTCCTGGTTGCCAGCTACCACTGTTTTCTTTCCCAGACTCGCCCTGCGGAACTTTGCCACTATGGTGAAGCCCGGTGGAATTCTTCTGATCGACCATCGGAACTACGACTACATCCTCGACAACGGTCGGGCTCCGAGCAAGAACATCTACTACAATGTGAGCACAACGTGACGTCACTTTGTATAGCAATTTCCCCTCAGCTCGATCACTTATAGGTTTGCTATATCTGATATTCGAGTTATGAGTTGTGTAGATAAACTGGCAAACGGTTGCGACTATAGGAATTCATTGCCGCTTTCCAGGAGCCTTGCTCATTCCCGATCGTGTTTTAACGACGTCACGGGACTAGCCCACACATCCATCCATCTGTTTTCAGAGTCAGTACGTGTCCGACATCAACACGTCGGTGGTGTACCAGGACGGTTCCCCCTCCAAGGTGATCCTCGACTACGTCATGCGCGACCCCACCGCGTCCACCGACAGCACCCTCTGGCTGGACAACCAGCCGCCGCCAGCGCCGCACAGAACGGCCATCTCCGCCAACCAGAAGGACAAGTAAGGCTTTGGAGTAACCACAGACAGCAGTATGAGCGTAGCACTACTGTTATCTGTGGATTAAGTATCGGATGATGTTCGTCTTTGCTATCGTTATTGATGATTGTCGGCACTAACATGCTTCAGCGAGCTGATGACTGTTAGTGCTCTGTTTGTTTCATTAACGTCGACGGCTTCTATGACTCATCGCATGGGTTTGTTTATGCAGTAGGCTTCTATCTATGAGATGTTTATCACTGGCTTTGTACCAATAACTGATTCGATGACTATGAGCCCGAGATAAGACGCAGTTCGGCGCCTAGCTAAACTAGCTATGTACTTATAATGCGTGGTTTGGACGTTTGGCGTATCGTTAACCGCACTCCTGGCCTCCATTTCAGCGAGTTCACGTTGACCTACTACCCGCACCGGGTGGCCAGTTTCCGCGCTCTGCTGGAGGAGGCGTTTGACCACCGTGCCACCGTCACCACCCTGGGCGACTTCCAACCTCTGGAGCATGTCCAGGACCCGGCCTTCTACATACACGTCGTGCACAAGTCGGAGGACAGCCAGCAGCCGAACGGTGATCACCCGGAGGAAGCCTGGTCATCGGTATCTAGCTCCGAGGAGTAGCTGATACCGTGCCCCAAACGACTTTAGACAACCGCCACGGTATATAAAGTTCCGCATGTGCTTTAGAGTCATAAGAGACCACGGGCACCAGAGGACGGGGCGATCTCCAGAGAAGTGTCCGCAGTTATTTTATGTACATAAATGTGTTGTTATTTTGTGCGTGAGGTAGTACTGTATCAGTGACTAACGGCGTATGTAATTATTTGTAGAGAAGGTCCAGCTCCAGGACCCATTCCTTCACATTCCTCGATAGGGGCTATTGATCCTGACGGTGGCTTTGAACATTATGTGCTTTGAGCATATGTAACTAAACGAGCTAGGTTATTGGGAAAGGTCTGGCTGTTTTATATGGTACAACGTTTCTTTGAGCATGATTGTAATCAATAAAAATGGTAAAATTGACCTTATGCTCATAATATCAGATAAATTAATTGAAAAAAGGTCCAGAATATATTTTCGAACATGGTTCTGGCTGGTTCTGTCTGGAGGTCTGGCTGCGTCAGATTTTCTGTTCGGGACTGATGCATCGATTGGCTATCATTGCTATGATGGCAGTAACTACTCTGGTGAGTAGAACCGCACTATCTCAGTTTGAACATGCGTTGTCTTGTGTAATTGGAGTGGTCTCCCGTATTGTTCAGTTGTGCCTGTGGACATGATATTTCTTCTCCCGGAGATCGGGAAAATGGGTCTATTGTCGATATTTATAACTAATGTGTACACTTTGTACATTTATTATGTGTGTAAATAAATCACCAAGATCGTCCTAAAGAGTGTGCAGTCGTTGCACAATATCAATGTGCCTACCTTTATAAATACCAAGTTTTGCAGTAAGACGTAGAACGGTCAATGGAAAAACCGAACCAGGAAATGAATGAAACGCGCCTAACGCTTGCCAGATTTTCTTGCATTGTCTATAAAGGCAATAAAATGATTTGAGATAATAACTCACAATATGATATTTAGAGCTTGAAGTTGTAGAAAGAGGTCGGTGTAAATAAGAGTTACAAAGCACCATCCGTCGTCTTAACTTACTGGACTAGGCGCAGTCAACGCGGGACAGCTCGCAGCCTATGAAAGGAGCCTAGAGAACACATTAGCTTTGGTCTGCTCCAGACATAGGCGCGGGAACCGTGGGAGGGGGGAGTGGGGACAGCTTGACCCCCCCCCCCCCCAACTCCGGGGCCGTGGGGGCGGTGTTGAGACGGAATATCGCACTTTTTATGCAAATGTTTTCTTTTTTTGTTGAGAAAGTCAAGGGACGAAAAATAAGTGGCCTAAAACCGGCGAGAAAACTAGATTTGGGGGTACCCTAGGTTGATCTCTATTATGGTGTGCCACATCCAGTCTGAAAGTAGTTCCCGCGCCCCTCGTTCCAGACTTACGGAAACTGAGTAAGACAAAAAAAAAAGACAATGTTACCGCGTATTTATTTGATAACGGTGGATTGACATTCTCCCACCACACCAATGCGGCGTCCCCGCTAGGCGGCCGTCCGGCTCCGTCCGTTCAGGGGCAGCCGGCCGGCTTGGTGCCCTGGTACTCGCGGCAGACGACCGTAAGCAGGTCGCTGATGATCTCGTTCTGTGGGTGCTGGCTGCCGTTGACCTCGACGGTGGGCACGCCGCGCAGAGGCGGGTCCGCGGCGTCGGTGATGTCGCGCAGACGCAGCATCTCGGCGTCCATGGCCGGGTCGACGGCGCAGCTCTCCAGCGCTGCGCCGTCCAGACCCGTCTGGGCCGCGCACCCCTGCGTGTCCTGGCCGTTCGACTCCATGCACACGATGAAGTCGATGGCAACCGAGTTGGAGGGGGCCATCTTGAGCGCGCAGGCGTGCACCACGTTGAAGTAGCACTCCTGCTCGCCGTGCTGGCAGCTGATGGTGACGGAGCCGTCCGGCTGGTCGATAGAGCGCGCGTTGCCCCAGGGCAGGAAGGTCACGTCCATGATCTCGGGCACCGCCTGCCAGGCCTCGCTGAACGAGCCGACGATGAAGTCGCGGCAGTACGGACACAGCGACTCGTAGTAGAGGGTCACCGAGACCGGGCCAGCGGCCACAGCCGGCGAGGCCAGCACCGACAGCAGCAGTAGAGCGGCGGGAACCATGGTGACGACGACTGGGAGAGACGTGACACTGAGAGCCGACGGCCTCACACCGCGCTTTAAGCCCCGAGGTTCACGTCGGACAGGCGCCACTCCCTGACAGGCACGTGTGAACGAAGTGCGCGCTGGCAGCTGACGGCAGGTCACAATGGCACAGATACTGGCGACACACGGGACCAGACAATCATTCTGACTGCGTCACTGCTAACTACAGGACACTTCGCTGAAAGTGACGCTGAACAATGACACCGGCACTCAATGTCACTACTTGTTGTGTGCGTGAATGAATGTGAGTGTTTACGAGTGCAGTTCGTAACACATTGGCAGGGACCGTGGAGTGGGCACGCGTTGCGTATGAGAGGGATGTTTGGCGGATGTGGTATTTGAAGTAACTATGCAATATGCATGTATGAGCGACGGGAGCGGTGCCTCGATATATGCACACAGTGCTTTTGCATCGTGCTTTTCGAGCAGTGCTTTTCATAAATAGGATATGAACCTGTTTTGGAGCAATACATGATGGTGGTGATGATAAGTTACCTACACCAGCGTGGATAACCGTGCTGTTAAAGAAGGAATAGGGGAGAGTGGGGAAAAATGCCCAGGGTTTTGCTATGTCATATATTATTCGAAAATGACGATCGGAAAGCAAAAACTTGGAGTTTCAACGGAAGCCGACATCATTTTTCTCCAAAAATATCACACTTTCGTGCCTGAAATATGATAACTTTTTTTGCTATTAAGCATTTTCCCGAAGAAGTGAAAGGGGGCATCTTACCCCACAGGGTGGGAAAGACGCCTCCTGGCGTTGGGTAAGATGCCCCCCTGCACTATAAGTGACATAAATGGGCACGTGAATCGCCTGAACGAATCAGTGGTCCCTTCGAGCCTGCAGTAGACACCAAACGTAATCGTAAGGGCCCTCAAAAGTAGTCGTAAGGGGCTTCAGAGGTCATCGTTAGGTCCATCATAGACCAACGCGGCCAAACAAGCCTCCGTGGTGGCGTTCGGAGACCACTGTGGGGCCCTTATAGGTCTTCATGATGCTTGAGGGCCCTCGAGCCCATCATGGGGACCTCAGATGCCAGCGCGGCCCGTGGAGCCAACGTGGGAGCTCTCAAAGGACGTCGTGAGGGGCCCTGGAGCCAATAATGGGGCCCACAGAGGCCGTCGTGAGGGCTCTCAGAGTCAGATGCCGCCCAAAAAGTCGCTGTGTGGGCCGAGAGACCGGCATGGGGAGCACCCGACCGTACTGGACTCTCAATAGTCCCAGATCGGCTTTTGTCTCTCATCATAAGTATGTAATAAATGATTTGACGGGCTGCTTGAAGGGCAGCCTACGGATTTAGGGAGGCGTCTTTCCCCATCAGGACAGGGGGCATCTTACCCCAAGGTATCGAAGTAACATTAAATCAGTACGATTTGTTAGCCATAAAACTACACCCTGAAACAAACTGTTTGGGACACAGTACACGCATGTTAATGTATCACAACTGTAGCAAGGGACGCAACAATTATCTACCTTCTTTGATATTTACAATGTTTTGACACCAAAATATTTTTTGAAAGCAGCAAATAAAAAACATGCAATCACCAGCCAGCCGTTGCCCAACTGAGCTTCGCAAATTTTTGTGCAGTTAACAAGGCAGGCTTCCGCTTTACGCTAAGAACATTTATTTCCAGGTTCGATTCTTTGTTTCGCCGCTAGAGGGGGTGGGGCGTCTTTCCCACCCTGGGCATCTTACCCCACTCTCCCCTACCGGTCAGCGCGGACCACTAATGTGGTGTCCACCAACATAATATTTGTTACATGATTTACATAATTATCTAAATTATGTAATTGGGATGTATGTTGGCTTCTCAGTTAAAGGGACCCTCCTACCTTCAAAAAAGTTTATAAATTGGCATAAAAGTGATGTACCTATCTTGATTCAAAAAGAGCAAAAAATGAATGGCTACCTAATTTCACCAACAAATGTTCACCGTTTTTAATAATTTACTGCAAACTTTAAAATTAAGTATCTCCGAATTAAAGCATATCTCGATGTTGTGGGTGCCCAAACCGGCAATTGGAGGCCAGGGACCCCAAGTTGGCTATCTCAACTCAGAACTAATGTTAAGGTGGGATGGTCACTTTAAAAATAACAGGCAAATAATTGAAAAAAAAAACACACATAAGTGATGTGGTATTATGGAAATGCATGCCTGATAAGACCTTATTAGGCGATTTTTCCATCGATCGACATCAACCAGCTGCTTGGTGACCGGAACGGCGCGGCTCGTCGGGCGGTGGTCTGACCCGCCGCAGGTCATTCGGCTCCGCCAATCAGCGACCAGGGGCGCCGGCCGCCGGGTGCTGGATCTGTCCAGGACCCCTGCGCCCGGCCGCAGTCGCTCCCGATCTTCGTTCGCGAACACCCCCCCCCCCCTGGCCCACTTATCAGGCGCTGGTGGGCATTCGATTTTTTTACACCTCGTTATCATGTACACTGTACAGGGTGACACAAAAAAACGGTCATCACCAAATTTCGAATAACTTCGGAAGTTTTATTCAGATCATCACCAAACTTCGGCCACTTAAGGTCACACCTATGTAGCATACACCCACCAAGTTTCAAGTCTTCACTACGAATACTTTTAGTACAGTGTGTGTTTTACTGACGCTCCACAATGTGCTCCAGGTGAGCGCCACGGCGCTGCAGGGCGTAAGCACACTTGCATCCGGCGGGCAAAGTTGTCGATAACCCGATGGCTGTGCACTTTACAGAGTGCGATGGCCTCTGGAGACAGTGCTCAGGGTGTGTGCTACCCCTGAAACGTTATTTTTATCGGGTTATCGGCAACTTTGCCCGCCGGATGCAGGTGTGCCTACGCCCTGCAGCGCCGGGGCGCTCACCTGGAGCACATTGTGGAGCGTCCGTAAAACACACACTGTACTAAAAGCATTCGTAGTGAAGACTTGAAACTTGGTGGATGTCTGCTACATAGGTGTGACCTAAAGTGGCCGAAGTTTGGTGATGATCTGAATAAAACTTCCGAAGTTATTCGAATTTTGGTGATGACCGCTTTTTTTTGTGTCACCCTGTACGTGAAAACTGGGTGCGGTGGTGGTGGCACCGTTTTTTTCCCACTAGAAGTGGTGGGACGCAACGGTTAGTGGATGTATTCGGCAGAGTTGTGTGTATATGTGAAAAAACGCAATTGGTATTGGTTGTATATAAAATACACCCCCAAGCAATCAGAAAAAATAACAGGTAAATAATTAAAAAAAACACACACAAGTGATGTGGTATTAGGGAAAAGAATAGCGTGGTGTGGAACATTTTAAAATTGAGCACAAGCTAGAAGTTACCCCATATGAAACATAAATTGGACGAATGAAAGGCGTTGTGCTTAATTGACATGTACCTACTTGCAAAATTAAGGTTCCGCGACTGAATGATCAAGCACACCCCTCAACTCAAAGTAAGCGAACACTACGAGACTTTTAACGGGGCGTAGGCAGTAGGCTATACATTAATTTTCAAAGGCGAAAAAATGCGTTTGGTTTCAAAGCAGCTAGCGAATTAACATCTTAGAAGCCAGTACTTTGACCAATGTCTTTGTTGTAAGTTCGACGTGCGGACGCGAGATTACTAGTTGTTTGCCCAGGTGCCGTTTCCTTTGTGGGTGTATGAGAACGACCGGGTGCGGGCGCCAGTCGGCGCTGTGGATGGTGCCAGCTGCCACGTGTCTCGTGCAAATTGTGCCTGTCATGCCGAACTTGAAGTCACATTTCGTATCGTTCATTCGCCCATGACTGTTCAGATTTCCGGGTTCCACAAGCTGAGAGTAGAGTGTTTTACGTCTTGCATAAAAACATGACCGTGTGGCGCTACTATTACAAAGATAGAAGAAATACTTTAACATAGTTCCATGCAAGCGTTTACAATAAAGAGTGCTATACCATAATGACTCTTCGTCAACATATCTTCTTTACAAGCCAAATTTTAAAACAGCACCAATATCTGTCTACACTGCTGACGTAAAAAAAAAAACAATGATACCATTTAATTTTCGAAACTCATTTTTCCACTGAACCTATGATAATAAGGCCCGCCTAAGTGTGCTATCACGTTCATTTTACAACAGTATCCGATGCATTACTTCCCTTTTCTCAGTGCAAAATAAGCAGTAGGTTGTCGCAAATACTTCGTGTGAGAAGTATGTACTGCTTTGCAGTTGGCAGAACCGTATAGATATTGATGGTTAAGCTCCCATTATTGTGCTTAGACACTTCTCTTTCACCTACAGTCACGAATGAGGCACGAGTGCCAATACAGTCACGAATGCCCATGCGAACTTTATTGGTTATCTGCATTCACCTATAAGTATCATGTGGTCAGTTTGATCCATTCACAATTCGTTAAAGTAATGGTCCACAATTAAACATAATCCTAAACGGCTAAACCCATCATAGCATACAACATAAACACATCCACTTAACGTTAATATCACAAGCAGTTGGGGAAAAGCACGAGCCGGTTAATGTGCCGCGAAGCAGCTAGTTCAGCATCCAGGGCTCGCGCTTCACCTTGACGCAATCGTCGCCGTAGTTGGGCAGCGGGTCGCGCTGGCAGGTCTTGTCCACCATGTAGGCGGCCTGGAACTCGCGCGCGCCGAAGAACAGGCAGCGCTTCGGGCCGATCAGGTCCTGCGAGGACTCGCCGTTCATGTCGCCGCAGATGCCGCACACGCGGTTGCGGAGGAACATGGGCTCCAGCATCAGCTTGACGGCTGGACCGACGATGCGGAGGCGCGCCTGGTACTGGGGCAGCTCCACTTCCAGTAGCTCTCCGGACCACTTCAGGATGCGCGCCTCGGGAATCTTGTCGGCAGTCTCGCTCTCGATGACGACCAGCTCGCCGACAGGTAGCCGATGCCCGTCGTTGTCGTTGACGTGCATGATGTACTCGACCCCGGAGGGCGTGAGTTCAATGATGCGGGACTTTGTGATAATACGGACAGCACGACGAGATGCAATCTCCTTGACCAGCACCGCCAGATTCGTGTTCTCAGAGCAGTCACTGGCGATAAGATGCCAACATGAGCTGTTCATCTTGACTGGTAGGACAACGTTGTCAAATGTC